GAGAGAGAGAGAGAGAGAGAGAGAAAAATCACAACAGACTGATAGTTTCAATTTCCTGCCAAAGACTGAAACAGAGAACTGTATGCAAAATGCTTCTTAGGAGCACATTCTCAGGGGCTGTACTTATAAGAAAAGAAAACCAGATGTGGTGGCAAGCACATTCCCACGATCTCAGTAATCAGGAAGTTGAGGTAGGAGAGCAAGACTTTAAGACCAGCTTATGCTCCTGGCTATCCTAGGCTACATACAGAAGCCATGTCCCAAAACAAACAAGAAAAAAAACATTAAAAATATTAAGAAAGACAGAATGAGGAAGAGAGAAGGGCTGGCCTGGCCCACAGTGTGGTTGCAGCTGTAATGTCAGCTGATTGTAAAAGGCAGTGTTGGAGTTATCTCAGGTTGAAGGGAGAAGACTAGGACTTGGTGTCCATTCCTCAGTCCATCATAAGCCATCAGCTACAATTGGGGACAAATCCCAAATGACAGATACATCTGCTGATGGACCTTCTGTGTTGATCCCAAAATAAGAAAAAAAACCACAGGTAGAACATCTTAAGTGTTTTATCCATATGAATCTTGAAAGTGCAAATGTTTTGTGGACATGCGGTTTCCAGAGTCATGTTTTATTCTACAGGTGGTCACTCACCCTTTCAAAACGATTGAGCTTCAGATGAAGAAGAAGGGCTTCAAGATGGAGGTGGGACAGTACATTTTTGTCAAGTGCCCCACAGTATCCAAGCTAGAGTGGCACCCATTCACACTGACCTCTGCTCCTGAGGAAGACTTTTTTAGCATCCATATCCGTATTGTGGGAGACTGGACCGAGGGGCTATTCAATGCTTGTGGCTGTGATAAGCAAGAGTTCCAAGATGCCTGGAAACTACCTAAGTGAGTATGGGACACATATTGCAAATGTGTATGTGTTTAGGAGAAATAGCTACATAGTTGTGATTGCCCCATATCTTACCACGTGATCTTCTGAGTGACAAAGTACAGTGGTTCACAAAATGTATGGGTGTTTCTCTGTGTTCACAGTTGCATGTGGTACGCTTATACATATGTGTAGAGATCTTGGGTGAACTATAAAGTATTGAGATCAAATATTAGTAATATCCTCAACTTTCTTTAAACACATAAAGGTCAAGGCCAAGTTATATTAACTTTTACAGAGAAACAAAAATCATGTCAGGGATATTCTTAAATTTTAAATGATATCATTTGTTTGAACATACTATTTGCTTTGCAGCCTTCTTTCCAGTTGCCTAATACAAACAAATGATGCCATTTTAAAAATCATGTCAGGGACTCAGTAGAAACTATGTGTGTAATGCAATTAGGAATTTCAAATGTAGATTGTCCTGTCAGGTGTGGAGCCCAGGTCTATAATCCCAAGAGTTGGGAAGCAGAAGCAGGAGAATCAGGAGTTCAAAGTTCTCACTAACTAGATAGAAACATTGAGGCTAGTCTGGCATACAAGAGATCTTGGTTCCAACAAGCAAGCAAGCAAGCAAGCAAGCAAGCAAGCCGGCAGGCAGGCAGGCAGGCAGGCAGGCAAGCACAGGCTGTGCCTCAATGAGTAAGAGCTTAGTGTGCAGTCCAGATGTCCTGAGTCTAGCCCCTGTCCCCCAGATCCCATGGTTGAAGGAGAGAAAGTCCTGAAAGTTGTCCTCTGATCTCATGTACTCTTTGGGATATGGATGTATACAACAACAACAACAGCAACAAAACAAATACAACAAAACAACAATACAAAACAAAAATACAAGTATAGTTTTTCATAACAAGAGAAAGATGTGAGCTGGAGAGATGGCTCAGAGCACTAACTGTTCTTTCCAGAAGACCTGAGTTCAAGTCTGAGCACTCACAACTATCTGTAACTCCCATTCCAGGGGATCCATCGTCCTTTTATAGCCTCCATGAGTACACAGATATACATGCAGACAAAACACCCACACGCAAATTAAACCTAAAGAGGCATATGTGTTGTGTGTAGAGGGAAAGAAAAGGAAGAAATGAAAAAAATCCATGGCAATATAGCAAAGATTTTCAGTTAGCTAATCATTAATATTCTTACTTTCAACTCCAGTGGTGGCATTAAATGGCTTCCATGAAAGCCATTTTATAGAGGTTTCCCATACATATACTACCTCAGTTAGAGTCAGCATAGTGGACATCTCCAACAGCGGGTATTCTACTGTGCAGGTCAATATATCCACAACCATCCCCTTCCCTTTCCATTCAGGATAGCAGTTGATGGGCCCTTTGGTACAGCCAGTGAAGATGTGTTCAGCTATGAGGTGGTGATGTTGGTGGGAGCCGGGATTGGAGTCACACCCTTTGCCTCCATTCTCAAGTCCGTCTGGTACAAATATTGTGATAATGCCACTAATCTGAGACTCAAAAAGGTAAGTTCTTCTTACTTGCTGGAGGGCCTGGATTAACCATCACTTTCAGGAATAGGAGAAATGAAGAAAAGGTTTAAGTGATTCCAGAGTGGCAGGCTTGCCTCGAGGGAGTAGAAGGCACATTAGTGTGTGTGTATATAAACAGACCTGTTAGTAAAAGTAATATGCCGTATTTTTCTAGCAGTATTATAAATTCATAAAATTTGAGAAAAAGAGGAAGTAGTTATAACCCAAGCCTAATAGTTACACTTTGAGTATGCACATGCATGAGCACATATACATGTGAACACATGTACACACACACACACACACACACACCAAGCAGTGCTGAGGGTGGCAGCCAAAGCTTCAAGTGTGTTCCTCAAATGTTCTACCCCGAATTCCACCTCCTTCTCTTGGGATATTCTTTTCTAGTTTTCCCGCTGCAAATTTACATACTTTTAGAAATCTATAAATATTAAATATATATATTTCAATACCCCATTTTCCATAATTTTTAAGTAGAAAGGAGTGTATGATGGAGATGGAGCCCAGGGCCTTACAGCTCCTAGCCAAATGCTGAACCACTAAGATACAAGTTGACATTCATTTCCCTTTTTATATTGGGGCAGGGACTCACTAGGCTGCCTGGCCTAGCCTTATGTTTACTCTGCAGCCCAGGCAGGCCTTTGATTTATGTTCCTCCCTCCTCAGTCTCCAAAACAGTTGTGATTACATACCTGAACTGTTGAGATTATAGGACAGTGGCAGCAGGCCAAACTGAAAACATTTTTTTCCCTGTCATCCTGCGTTATACAATGATACTGACTCTACTGTCAGTTCTTCAATATACTGCTTTTTGGCAGAATAGGGCAGGAGACATGAAACTTTGTACTTGCTTATGGATGTCTCCTGGGGATGAATTTCCAGGGAACTGTTACATGTTACTTGAGGAAAGACACCTTGTAAACCTCAAGTTATTCAAGTAACTGTTAAATAAGATTGATTCTGATAGGGTCATCCACCCCAGCTTTGCATTTCGTTCTTTTCTAGTGAAGGAGGTATTAGTAAGACTACTTGGGAAAGTCTGGAAGTCCCAGGCAGGGAAGACATCTCATGGCAGCCACTGTGTTGATTCCTTTGGCCTTTCTCAGAGCAGATATAAAGAAGTTAGGGATTCTGGGAGAGGAACAGCACACCAGCAGAGGGAAACTAGTAAGACAGAAGGTGGAGGTCAGCTACTTATTTGTAAGCCTAAATCATCAATTTATAGATTTGCTTTAAAATATTTATTTTTATCTATGTCCATCTGCTTGTTTGTGCACATGTGTGCATGTGTGTGTGTGTATGTGTGTGTGTATGCACACGCACACATCACATATGTAGGGGTGCAGCGAGAGGCTAAAAGAGTGCATTGGATGCCCTTGAGCAAGAGTAACAGGCAGTTGTGAGCCTTCTGACACAGATGCTGGCAACAGAACTTTGATACCATGGAAGAGCAAAAAGCAATCTTACCCAATGACCCATGTCTCTAGCAACTCCTGAAAATGATTTCCTGATCTGCCTGCTTGAAGGTCAGAGATTTGTGTGAATTAGCCTATGGAGGATATATAGTTTGGTAATACACACCCACAATGTCAGCACTTGAGAGGCAGAAATTGGAGGATCCCAAGTTTAAACTAGGGTCAGTCTAGGCTATATGAAAGATCCCATCTTGAAACAATGACAAACATCTCCAGATTTCTGCAAACCTGTTTCTGGGCATTCTGGGCACCATGAAAACGTTTAGAACATTAGAAACCCATTCGTTGAAGTTGATGTAATCTGATTTGTGGCCTGTCCTTCTTCAGATCTACTTCTACTGGCTGTGCAGGGACACGCATGCCTTTGAGTGGTTTGCAGACTTGCTGCAGCTGCTGGAGACCCAGATGCAGGAAAGGAACAATGCCGACTTTCTCAGCTACAACATCTACCTTACTGGCTGGGATGAATCTCAGGTGAGGACAAGACTCCAGTTCTCAGGTCTTTTGTAGTATGTCCAGAGCATGCTGGCTTCCTTTTATTTTTTAAGAAACTTCCATACATTGCTCCCCCCCACCAAGGACAGCTAATGGACTCAAGTGACCCAGCCTGCTCACAGTCACTCAGCATCATCCTAAGATATTCAAACCATTGTGACTAGATTCCAAACTAAGGGGCCTATGTTGATATTAGAACATTGTTCCCACCAAAGAACTGGAATCTCAAGGCAGGTGGATAAGATTCATCAAATGGTAATGGGAAGGAAAATCTATCCCCCTCTTTTGTATATAGTCCTTAATTTATATGTTATCTATATTGTATGATATAATCAATAAATTTATATTCAGTCAGCTCTCCATATACTTGAGGTTCTGCATCTATATGTTCCATCAGCCTAATCAAAATATTTGGGGAAACAATTGCTCCCCAAACAATACAGTGTAACAACTAGCTACCTAGGGCTTCCATTGCCTGAGGTGTCATAACTAATCTAGATATGATTCAAAGTATGTAAGAGACTTCAGCACTTATAGATTTTGGGTATCAAAGGATTGGGATCCTACAGTCCTTTGTAGACTGAGTCCTGTTCCAGGTATTGTTTTTACTGTTTATAGAGATTGTCTAATTTTATGTTCTCAGCAACCTTATGATGAAGTAATGGCTATTATTCTCTAAATTTTATTGACGAAGAATCAAAAGCCTAAAACTGATTAGCTTAGTTGCATAAAGGCATCCAACAAGTAAACAGCAGTGTCCAAATGCACTCAGCAATTCCCAGCAGTTTATAGCTATTAATAACAAATACATTGACATATATATGATGACGAAAGTTGGATATATAGTATATATGAAGATATGTATATGAATATGTGTCATGCAAAATATCTGGAGACTACTAAAATAAGTCACTTGTATTCAACTGAATGCAATATATTCTCCCACCAGGATCATTTAGTAATAAAAGCATCTTATAATTTACAAATGCAGTATGAAGCCTCATTAGGGCCTATATGGTTAGTTATTAATGTCAGTCTGTAAGAGAGTCTCAATTGATTAAATATTTATATTGAACTGGCTTGTAGGCATATCTGTCCGGGATTGTCTTAGTTGCTAACTCATGTCTGGAGATGCAGCCCATTGTAGGTGATCCCAGTCCCTGGGAGTGACACTCCTATATAGGACAGAAGAAAGCTTAGATAGAAGCAGAAAGCAAACTGCCTGGGTGCATTTCTTTCTTCCTCCTCTTGACTGTGGATATGACTAGCTGTTTCAAGTTCCTGCTGCCTTGACTTCTCCACAATGATGGTCTATAACCTGCAATTGTAAGCCAAATAAACCCTTTCTCTCTTAAGTAGATTTTATCATAATACTTCATGAAAGAGACAAGAAAGGAAACTAGCGCAGGTTCCCTGAATTATGAGTTTGCCTTTCTTAGAGGATGATATGGCCCTTGAGGGAAAAAGCAGAACTTCACACTTTTGCATCAACCAGGGAGGAAATGGTTAACTTTCCTATTATTTGGTTTAGCCTAGTAGTCTGTCAACACTTGCTCTATGCCTTGACTTCAGGCTATGTCTAAGACAGGGGAGAATACTGACTGACTGTATTTACAGTCATTGGTTTACTGCTTAGCTTTGTGAGCATAGGATCAGGAAAGAAGAGTTCAAGTGATTGCCCTCAGTTTCCCTTTGGCTCTGTCAGTGTTCGAAGCCCCTCCCATTGGTTCATCTTGAACCCTGCCAGGAGTCACAAGCAGCCACATGTCTAGATCATTTACTGAGAGGCTGGAGCTGATTTCCTTTTGATCCAGCTCTTGAAAATGAGTTACCAGCAGTTGGCAGATTTCCCATCATCGCCTTGAAATCCATCTCCTCCTAAATGTTCTTCTAATCCACTGCCTACACTAACTGGCCAAACAGTGAAGGCCTTGTAGGCACCTGCCTCTAGGGGCTGAGCTTTTGGTGTATACAAAGGACATATCTCATTCTGGGGACAGTTATTCTTCTCATTTTGTCATCTCATCTTTGTGTTATATTTCCATTACCTTTTCACTTTGGCTGGCCTTATTTGTATTGTAAAAGAGGGATTTTCTCTTTAATGCATTCTTGCTTCAAATGGTCTCGTACTCAGCACCTGAACTTTTACAAAGCTTTTTACAAAGGCACATTCTGTAAAAGGAGTTACTGACTATTGACTATGCTATATGTCTCATAAGGAACTGACTTATTGATACCCACATGTCTAGTATAATATCTTGATAGCAGATGGGTACAGAGGACCCTTTCATCCCCTTTCTTCCTGAAGAATATCACCCTCTACCATCACAACCTGTATATGTCTCTCTGTGTGGGTATTAAGTAGCAAGACCTTGATTTGGGAAATGTGTTATGCCATGTCTCTTTTTTGCTGAATGTCTATCCTTTGCTACAGGCCAATCACTTTGCTGTGCACCACGATGAGGAGAAAGACGTGATCACAGGCCTAAAACAGAAGACACTGTATGGACGGCCCAACTGGGATAACGAGTTCAAGACCATTGCAAGTGAACACCCTAAGTAAGGAGTCCTCCATTTAAGTGTTCTTGAAGCTTGTGGTCTGCCTAAAGCAGCAATTCCCAAGCACTGATTGTATGTTATCATCTAAAAGTTATCATAAACATTTTCATAATGCTGTGACAGGGTGAATTCTTATCCAACAGATATCTGACTTTTAGAAATAATCTTTAAATCATAGAAAAATCACATGGAGAATAGTTCTCAACCAATGATTCATAGCATTTCTCTTCTTTAGTTGCCCAAATGTCACTATTGCATATATTGATTTTAAATGGTGAGCACAGATCAAGTGTCTGAGTCTAAAATCATAGGATGACAGATGACATGGTGTCTTTCTGTTGTCACTACAGTTTTAGCCATCCTGATACCCTGAGGAAATCTCCCTGTCACATAGAATACATGAGAAGCTCCGTATCTTACTCTAAATATATCTTTTCAAATAGATGTGGCAAACACATTGACTTGCCATTGCAACATGATGTGATCTACAAATGTGTCAGGTTACACGCAGAGCTATTCTTATATGTATGTGGCCCAGTGGCCTCAGGCTTGATATGCCTGGTTTCCTTGAACCATTGCTGTAATGAGCTTTAATGTGCATTAATGAGCACATAAATTACCTTGCTATGTTATTACATATAGACTCTGATTTATTAGGTCTGAAGTGGGGGCCAGAAACCTACATTATTAAAAACATGATGCTTTTTAAGATGGCATGGGACCACATTTTGAAAAACAAGGATTTCAACTGTAAGACTTCAGAGGATGAAGCTGCTGTCACAGTTGGGGCACCCAATGAGGATTTGTTATTGATTTCAAAATGCTAGAAAGATTTTTGGGGGGGGCTGGAGTCCAACAGGAAAGTACACCTAAGCTTTGCCTATTAGCCATGGGTCTTAGTCAGGGTTTCTATTCCCGCACAAAACATCATGACCAAGAAGCAAGTTGTGGAGGAAAGGGTTTATTCAGCTTACACTTCCACACTGCTGTTCATCACCAAAGGAAGTCAGGACTGGAACTCAAACAGGGCAGGAACCTGGAGACAGGAGCTGATGCAGAGGCCATGGATGGGTGTTGCTTACTGACTTGTTCCCTGTGTCTTGCTTAGTCTGCTTTCTTATAGAACCCAGGACCACCAGCCCAGGGATGGCACCACCCACAATGGGCCTTTCCTCCTTGATCACTAACTGAGGAAATGCCTTACAGCTGGATCTCATGGAGGCATTTCCTCAATCGAGGCTCCTTTCTCTGTGATAACTCCAGCTTGTGTCAAGTTGACATGCAAAACCAGCCAGTGCACCATGATATCTTTGTGGTAGAAGTTTCCAGAACCCCTGCTTGGATTTCATTTTCTGGGGATGTCAACTCCATTTGAGTTGTCATCCAGCTGTCTGTAATACTCAGTTGGGCCTGCTCCTTGTGAGTAAATTGAACATTTTTGTCACTTGTGGAAAAAATAGGAATAGAGTGGCCTCTATTTAATAGGAAATTTACCCACGCTCTTTGCTGCCCAACTCATGCCAAAGCCTGAAACTTTCTTTTCTTTCTCCAAAGCACCAGAATAGGAGTTTTCCTGTGTGGCCCCGAAGCCTTGGCTAAAACTCTCAGTAAACAGAGCATCTCCAACTCAGAGTCCGGCCCGCGTGGAGTCCACTTCATTTTCAACAAGGAAAACTTCTAACTCAGCTCTTTCACCAGGAAACCAATGTTTGCTGCCAAATGCCCTGATATTGCCAGTTGATTGTAGGAAAGGAGAAGGCAAGGAAACCATAATGACACAGGCCCCCTAAAAAGAATTCCAAAGATTATTTGCTAGTCATAGGGCATATCTACATGAAGCTTCATGGTTTCAGAGCACTGTTTACAACCATTGTTATGTTGCATCGTTTCATATTTCCCTCTTCCATGCCAGGAGAGGGTAAGACAAAAGCATTTTCTGGGACTTGTTCTAGGATAAACAATAGAAGTTCAAATGAATTCAGCCCCTTCCTTCCGATTCAGAAGCTGAAACCAGATCTAGGCCACGAAACTACAATAACTTGTATTTTGATTACAGAAGTTTTATCACCACTAGTACCAGCATCTTCCTGAAATATAAATCCTAGAAACCGTAATCCCCAAATAACTGGGTTGATAGTAAAATCACACCCAATATTTTGTGAGTATCCAGAAGTGCAAGACAGAGTGTAGATCACTGCCAGAGTAGTCACATGTGGAAAAAAAAATCTCCTCCTGTTTCTGGGAACTAAAAGCATTTCTGATTGCCCCACCACCAGGAATACAAAGACTTATGACTTCAGCTTTGGTAATGAGGAAGGAAGAGTAGAGGGCAGAGGCCTTGTTGGAGAGAAACCGTGGAGAGAACAGGAGAGAAAAGAAAGCACAACACCCAAAAGGGAAAAGAGAGGGGGAAAGGGGCTCATGGTGGTTGGGATTCAACCTCCATTTCTATCTGACGTGTATCACATGTAACTGAAGGATGCATGTGCTCATCTTTTTTTGATTTCATATAGTATTGCATAGTTTCACTTCCGGTCACAACTTTTGCTATTGTATGGACATTTTGAAGAGACCAGACGAAGTGAGGGCTCAGATTCTCCTTAGATTCCTGCTATCCCCCCCGCCCCCCGTTCTCTTAACGTCCTTTGAGCACTGAAGGCTAGTTCTGGCAAATAAAGCCTTTCTAGATGTAATGTGCACATACATAGCACCACGAAAATTGTTGCCCTTGGAGAAAGGTCCAGAGCCTTCATGTTTCACCCTAGGCATTAGTTCATTGATTCAACATACATTTGTTTGGTATAATTAATATGAGTCCATTTTAATTATTTATGGCCAAGTTTGAGCTAGAGAGAGATCTCAGTTACAAGGACTCTGAAAATACCTTTCTAACAAAGGTGGTAATGAGTCTGTTTGTTGCTCCAAAAATGTTTCTCCAGTTTGCTGGTTTTTTCCCTCTTTTTCTTTATTCTTCAATAGACCCAGACTGCAGCTTCCCTTTTCCCCCTCTCCCAGCCCTGCCCCACACCTCCTTTCTTTCCCCCATATCCATTGCTCCCCTGTTTCCTGTCCAAAAAAAAAAAAAAAAAGAGCAGGCCTCCCAGGGATATCAACTGAACACAGCAAAATAAGATGCAATAAGACAAGGCACAAACCCTCATATCAAGGTTGGATGAGGCAACCCAGTAGGAGGAAAAGGGTCCCATAAGCAAGCAATAGTTGATATCGACATAGTTCCCAAAATAGAGATCTATCCTGAGTTATTCTGGTTATGAGATGGAAAATGAGTGCACATGTGCTTCTTGTTTGAGAACTTCCTTCTTTTCCCTCCCAAGACCCCAGTTCCCGGTCCCCAGCCACCAGTCCCTAGTTCCTAGTCCCCAGCTCCCAGCCACCAGCTGCCAGCATAGCTCTTTCCATATTTAGTTCTTAGAATTTAGTAACAGATACTGAGATCTGTCTTTAGTAACAAATCTAAAATGAGAAAATAAGGCTAGAAATTATTTTCTTAGTTTTTCCTGCTTTTGCAATATCATTTTTATGGAATTTGAGTACTTTCGGCCATTGTATATGAATGTCTGGGGTGGGGCGGGCAAGAAGATAATCTGGAGATAACTTTTAGAAATAACTATTAAAGCTTGCTTTGATGCTGAAATCAGTGAGCTTTCCCTGTGTCTTTGTTATTGAACTTGTCATTAAAGGGTGAATCCCTGCATGGAGCCATGAGCATATGTTTTGGGCTTGGTCAGTTGTTGTTATGATGGATGCAAAGCACTTTGCCATAGGTAAATGGTAATATCAGAAATAGCAACTATTTAGTGAGCAACTACTACTATCCCAAACATTTTACATATATCTCAGCTACTCCCTCAGCAAGAACACAATGCCATTTTAATCCTAAACTTGTTGATAAGAAAACTATCCAAGGAAAGATGATTGATAAGCAAAGGTCCCACAGTTAATGGATAGATTCGTCGACATTAAATCTCCATTTCCTAGCAATCGGGCCTAGGTTCTTTTGTTGCAGTAATATTTAATCGGAGGCACCCAATCTGGCTTGTTGTTATGGGGCCGCCATGTTCCCGACGAGGCAAGACCTGAGGCCACGAGCGAGCAGCATGGAATGTAGGAGATGGCTCTGCCAATCTACCATGCTGTCTCCACAAAGCTTGGCTGAGCCCCAGACAATACCCACCATCCATGTGGTACCTGATGGAAATGAAACTCTAAAGCTTAATTATTATCCAAAGGCTTTATATATTTGGTAATGCTCAATTAACAATTTGCCTACACAGAGTTGTTTCCCAATATCTAACCTTATGATATACATCGTTACCCAGGACTGTCCTGGACCCATGCGTGGTTCTCCACGGCTCCTACATCGCTCCTTCCCTCCTAGCTCCTCCTCTTCCTTCTCCCCTTCCTCTCCTTCACTCCTCCCACCTTAGCTCTCCCAAATTACCAAGCTTATTGTAAAATGTAGCAGGGGGGAAATATTCTGCTACGTTCTTTCCACTAGCAGATTAAATAAGGTTCATGGAATCAAAATATGCATTGAGAATGGTTGGGTAAGGGTGGTAGTAGAGATCAAGTATTATCTTGGTATGTCACTTTTAAATTCAAATAAAATAGGATGCTGGAGGGAGAAAAAGGAAAGTCAGAGTGATGGAATTTTATTTAAAATATTTAGAAATAGATTATAAAAAGAAGCGAGGAGTCCGATGTTCTGGTGCATCCATGCAATAAAGCACTCAAGAGGCTGAGTTGAAATTATAAATTCAAGGCTAGGTTGCTCTGTATATCCAGACTCTGTTTTAACCCCGTCCCCCACAAACAAAGAAAAGGTTACTTTTCTTGACAAAAAAAATCTAATGACTCAATTATAAATGTCCTTTTTGTATATTTTTATTTTTATTTAAAAGCGTTTATGTCTTTCAGAGAATGACCAGCCATTGTTTGAAGTATGTGTGTGTGTGCGCGCATGTGCATATATGTTTCATGAGGAAGAAGTGAAATTATAAAATGATAGAATTTCTCAACATTAAGTGCTGTTCTGCAGAACAAACAAAATATGCTGACAGTGGCTGGTAATTTCTAAAATGTGGGAACTGAGCAACCAGTTAAGCATGGCTGAAGATTGTTTGAGTGCTACAGTCTTACATATTGTGTTGGCACATGAGAACTTAGTCTACACAGTTACTGGCAGTATATTATCAACAACCAGGAAAATAGAATATCTCAAATTGTACTAAAAAGCACTCAACCCCCAAATAACTGTTTTGTGACTAAAAGGCAGTCCTAAGAAGAGCAACACATGAGAAGCCACTGTGAATTAATTTATGAGATTTTACCCTGGGAACTAACAACAAATGGATTGTGCTTGTCTAATTATTGGAAAAAACTCCAAACATTATATTCTGAAATTTGATTCTTTAGAGAAGATCACACAGTCAGCAAATCTGATTTATAGTAAAACATCAAGTTCGAAACATCTTCATAAATCCTACAATTGCATTCAAATATTAAATAATCACCAGTCTTTTCCACTATGTTAGATTACTTCATTGATAAGCATCGCTTCCTTTTTTAGTTATGAAATTCCCACTTGAGTAAAAATATGATTGCTAGCAAAAAAGCTAACCATCACTCTTCAGAGTCAGATGGGGATGAGCCAAAGTATAAGAATAAATCACCTATCTTTCCCCAAAGATCATAGACTAAATTTCAACTATGTTTGTGTTGGTTGATAAGAAACAATATTATTTAGCCATCTATCATGGTGTATGGATTGGGTCTCAGTTGCCTGAAAACCACTTCAGCAATCTAGTCACATGCAAGTTAGTTCATACCTAGTGTGTAAGGGTCTGCAGAGCTAGAGGATCGTCCTATTTTTCAGTGTTGAAATGGTCAAGACATCCCACTCAGACATCTCTGTTGTCAGCTACCCGCTGCATTCATTACAAAGCGCTCCATTCTGCTGGAGTTCCTCTGACTTTTCTGAGATCAAAGGCAACAGGAAACTTGACCATGAGCAAATCACACAGGAAGTGAGCTTTGAAATCTTTTAGATGAGTGTGTTTTTTCCTTGGTAAAAGATAATCAACAAAATTTACTTTCTATTTGGTACATATGAGATACATTAAAAACAAAACAAAACAAAGCAAGAACAACAAACAAACAAACAAACAAACTCTCTGGAGCTGGAGAGATGGCTCAGCAGTTAGGAGCACTGAGCATTCTTCCAGAGGTCCTGAGTTCAATTCCCAGCAACCACATGGTGGCTCCAGCCATATGTGATGAGATCTGGCTCCCTCTTCTGGTGTGTCTGAAGACAGCAACAGTGTACTCATACATAAAATAAATACATCTTTTTAAAAATCCTCTGCTTTCTATTTAAGGGTATTATATATCAAAGGCCAGACGATGGGGGTAGAAGGAAAAAGTAGAACAGAAATAGGTGGTATCATCAGTAACTAGAGTATAAATAGATTGCTTTATCGGCTTTTAAAGAGGTGTATTCACATGATCTTCAATGTAACTTTGTATCCCTTTCCATTAATAAGAGAACTATTCCTTTATGTAGTATATTTAGTACTTGGTTCTGCAGATCTATAATGATCACAATAAACCATTCAGATTAAAATGAAAAAACCATAATAATGTAAATGTTAATTTTCTAATTTTACTATTTATAGGCACACCACAGATGACCTAACTATGGAGAAAATGAAATACAAAGTTATTAACTGTGATATTATACAACTAAATGGATAACAAAGGACGTAGAGTATTGGCAAAAGTTGAGGGAGAAAATGACAGATGTGGGAGCTGAAGAGATAGTTCAGTGGTTAAGAGTGCATATTGCCCTGGCAGAGAACCTGCTTTCAGTTCCCAGTGCAGTATCAGACGGCTCACAACAACCGATAACTCCAGTTCCAGGAAGTCTGACACTCTCTGACCTCTGTGAGCACCTGGTAAGCCAGAGGTGCACACAAACTCATGCAGACACATACATACACTTAAACATTTCTCTCAAAAGGATATGGGTGTGGGGTTGAAAAGGTGGGTCACTGGTTAAAAGCACTGGCTGCTCTTCCATAGGATCTGGGTTTGATTCCCAACATCTACATGGTGGCTCGAAACTGTCTGCAACTGTAGTTCAGGGAGAGCCAGTATTCTCTTCTGGCCTTTGAGGGTACTAGACATGCATGTGGTACATAGACATATATTCAGACAAAACATCCATACATTTAAAATAAAATAATAAAATAAATATTTAATCTACCTGGGTATATAGAGATAACCATGGAAAATAATCCTTCCTTCCTGTCATTTTCAATTTTAGTGAGGGTCCGTTTGTGCCACAGCAGTTAACTAACCACACTCTGGCAGATGGCCGTGTATTGAAGTGTATAGGAGCAGGAAAAATAGGACTTGATGGATTTTTAAAAAGAGGTAAAAAGTTGGGTAGATAGGGAACTGGGGTGGATTTATGGGGAATAGGGAAAGAGGATTGAATATGATTCAAATACATTCTATAAAATTCTCAAAGATTTTTTTTTTTACTCTCAATGACATGAAGCAACAGAAGTCATTTTATGGTCACATTACATGACCATTGCATATTGACTGGGAACAAGGGACTTGTTGAACCCCGTTTGACCCAGGCTACCGTCTTCCTGCTAGTATTATTAGCTAAGAACTTTATATATTTCATCTAATTTAATTTTCAGGACATCTATTATTTCTTCTTTACAGACCAGGATGCTGAAGTATAGAGATATTACATACTTTCTCTGCTATGACACACCTGGGGGCATGTTAAGATCAGAATCCTAACTGTGTTTCCCCACAAGCTTACCTTGTGGCTTCATAGAAAAATGATGAAGGACCAATATGAATGAATTTAAATGCTGGCATTCATGGGAAATGTGGCTAGGAGTTGATTTAAAAAACTGACCTTAGGAGATATTGTTAATTTAAAGCTAGGATTTTTCTTAGTACTGGCAAATAAAAGCAAAATTATGTCATGATGTTAGATAGTTAAAAGCTGAGTGAGAATAAGACACCTTGAATTTTGTAAATCAATTTACTTGACAAAATGCTTCAAGCATCATCTTTAAATATGGTGCAGTGTGTATGGCTTCCAAGTCAAGGGCCACCAGGGATCCTGGCAGGGGAGCAGATGGGAACACTCCAACTCTTCTGAAGTTGGGTAGAGGTGAGCCTTGAGCAATTCATGTCATTGATAGAGCACAGACTCCTGACAACTAACAAAGAAAGCCAAGCGGGGAGAAAAGCTTTTGCTTGTTGAGCCGCTAAGAATTGAGGACTGTTTATTGTCACATCATGATCTAGCCCAGGACTAACTGGTACACTTGACTTTTATGGATAGGTCTTCTTGTCCAGCATAATTTTAGAGATACGATGGTCAAGCATGGGACTCATTAGGGTAAACTAAAGTTCTCAACTGGGCACGGTGTGTGTGTGAAAGTCTACATATTTTCCTTTTCCATCTTTTAAAGGTCCCTTACCTTCCAATTCTACCAGCAATTTCAATTTTCTTTGTAAGACAACATGCTTTCCGCTTAAGAGAAGAACATCTTTTTTTCCTTCATATCCTTTTAGGATCACTAGTTTGGCAGTTCCAAGGGG